TTTTGATCAAAAACCGACCATTTTTGGCCATTTTGGTGGGCTATAGCCCATGCATTTTGATCAAAAATCGACCATTTTTGGCCATTTTGGTGGGCTATAGCCCATGCATTTTGATCAAAAATCGACCATTTTTGGCCATTTTGGTGGGCTATAGCCCATGCATTTTGATCAAAAATCGACCATTTTTGGCCATTTTGGTGGGCTATAGCCCATGCATTTTGATCAAAAATCGACCATTTTTGGCCATTTTGGTGGGCTATAGCCCATGCATTTTGATCAAAAATCGACCATTTTTGGCCATTTTGGTGGGCTATAGCCCATGCATTTTGATCAAGAATCGACCATTTTTGGCCATTTTGGTGGGCTATAGCCCATGCATTTTGATCAAAAATCGACCATTTTTGGCCATTTTGGTGGGCTATAGCCCATGCATTTTGATAAAAAATCGACCATTTTTGGCCAATTTCGTGGTCTATAGCCCATGCATTTTGATCAAAAATCGACCATTTTTGGCCATTTTGGTGGGCTATAGCCCATGCATTTTGATCAAAAATCGACCATTTTTGGCCATAAATCATAAATTCTGTGCACGGATTAACAGAATGTTGAGTCCATTGCTTTATCATCAGAAATTTTATTTCTTTAGAAAACTTATTAAAAGTTATTTCTAGTTCCTCCAGGTCATCTTGCAATCGCGAGGGAAACTATAGCCATCGATACACTGCAAAAAGCTCGCAGATTTTGAATTTTAGTGAAAACTTAGAGCAACAGTTTGAAGACAACGATAAACCGTTCAACTTAGAGCAATTTTATTTAATCCGTGAAATAAAAACTAAATAGTCACTATTTTTACTTAAATAGATGATATAGCACTCATGCGAATCAACTTATAGTTCAATACTTAGGAGATATTAAATACGCAAGAATCAAATTAAGCCAATTATTCTATTCTGATGATTCCATGAATCCTAAACAAGTGTTAAATGAGATCATCATTTTCCTCAGGGAGRGGTGCAGCGCTCTCAGKAKGGGGTGCACCCCACAAAAATCATTACCATGAAGATACAAAATARGGAAAGTATTGAAGAATACAGACCTCAGGAGGAGGTGTGCACCCCCCTGTACGCACCAGCTGGATCCGCCCCTGATTAGCTTGGGTATTGACAAAAGTAAAAAAAACGCATTGATCCAAGTGTGTTCAAGCCACACCTGCAAGTTTTATTTCGAGTTGAACTGAGTATTACATGTAACTGTGAGCCATTATGTTAAGTTTTGTTTTTTGCTTAAGCAGCTGTTTTTCCCTTGTAAATCCAGAATTTCGCTTGATTTCTTATGATGTAATCGCAATTTCTCCAACACCCTAGAATATAACAAAGTTAGTGATTATTTTCACATCATACCAAACATTCAAGAACAGCTTTAAATGAAAGTCTAACCTTTGCGATGCATCCAAAGATTTCAGTGCGAAGACATGTGAAACCATGCCAGGTTARAGGCCTCAAACGCAGGAATTTTGCATAAATTGGAGGGTGAAGATTATAAGATTGAATTGTGTGCTGATCGAAGTTACCAGGGAAGATCTGATATAGAAAACATATATGTGTTGTTCCACTCATTTTCATTGA